TTTGGCGGTCGTACGGAAAATATCGTAACTCGATACGAAGTTACAGGTACGGAGAAAATACGCTACGTGGTCGTATGTTCTCCGTATCCGTACGTATTAAGAACAGGTACTTTTCCGTTAGGCCAGCCAACGATTTATATCGGAGAACAGTGTTTGGAGCTGATTGGCGCAACTCCGAATTTTAATTTTGATTGTGTCGAGGGTATCATTCGGTGCACAGTACTTCCTCCAAGCGATCTTTTTCACCCAGTACTCCCGTACAAGGCAAATTGTTGTTCGGGCTGTGCCGCAGTTGCTGCGAAACGTTCTCGCAGACCGAGTATACTCACGATCTCCCCGCCGATCGTGAATTCGTAGGAGCGTGGGTATCCTTCGAATTGCGCAAGGCTCTCGAGAAGGCTTATCTCGTAACGAACGTGAGCGAAATATGGCAGTTTAGAGTCACGCGGTTTGATCCTCATACGAGGCAGGGTGGTTTGTTTGCCGAATATATCAATACTTTTTTTAAATTAAAGCAGGAAGCTAGCGGATGGCCGAGCGAATGCCCGAATGACGAGAGTAAGGAACAGTACCTTCGGGAATACCAAAAAAACCGAAGGTATTGTTCTCGATAAAAATAATATCGCCCGAAATCCTGGTTTACGTTCGGTCGCAAAGCTCTGTCTGAATTCTTTCTGGGGTAAATTCGGCCAACGAACCAATCTGCCTAATACAGAGATCATAAAAAAATACGATCGTTTGGCAGCGTTGCTCACGAGTTCAGAACGTTGCGCACGAAATAACCAATATATTACCTGTCGAGGTAATACGAGGTCTGGCTATTAAATAACGAGACTGCGCGCGCAGAAGGCGTCCTAGAGGGGTAGGGTGGGAAACGAATGCAGCGTTGGATAGCTGGAAGTGTCTACTATTCCAGTACGAAAACACGTTTTTGTCGCAGTAGTAGTATTTTTTCTATAGAGGTTAGAAACGAACTTGTTTTTTTCTCGTGCCGATAACAATGTGTGACGAAAA